TGAAATGGATCAAAGATCTACAAATAAATACAGAAATACTTAATCTGCTGGAAGGTAGACTAGGTAAAACTCTAGAAAATATAGGAATAGACAAAGACCTTATGAACAAAACCTCAAATGAACAGGAAATATTATAAAGAATTGACATCTGGAATTCCATCAAATTCAAAAACTTTTGCATAAGAAAAGAAATCACCAACAGAGTGAGGCGACAACCCACAAAATGGGAAAAAATTTTACCAGCTATTCCTTAAAGGACGAGAATATGTGGAGAACTAAAAAAAAAATCAGAACCCCCAAAATTTAAAGACCCAGTTCAACAATGGGCATTTGAAATGAATAGACATTTCTCAGATGATGAAGTACAAACAGCAAATAAATATATAAAAAGTGCTCAACATTACAGGTCATTCAAGAAATGTAAATTAAAACAACTCTGAGATTCCATCTCCGTTAAGAATGGTTGCCATCAAGAAAACAACCAATAACAAATTCTGGCAAGGATGTGGGGAGAAAGGAACCCTTCTCCATTGTTTGTTGGAGTGTAAATTGGTACAACCACTATGAAAATGACTATGCAGAGTCCTCAAAAAACTAATATTAGAGGTTCCATTTGACCCAGCTGTTCCTCTTATAGGTTCTTCCTGAAAATTAAAAGCATCATACCACAGTAATATATGCATACTTATTTTATAGCAGCACAATTTATAACAGCTAAATCTTGGAAACAGTCCATATGCCCATCAAAAGATGAATGGGTAAAGAAAATACAGCATTTATATACAATGGAGTACTACTCTACCATAAAGAAGGATAAACCCTAGTCATTTGTAGGGAAATGGTTCCACTTCAAGACTATAATCTTCAGTGTAATAAATTTGAAGTACAAGTTTAAGTATTGCACTGTTTTGCTTGTGCAAGGAACTCAAAAGGTAAATAAGGAGCATAATGGAGGATAGATACTGGAAAAAGAAAGAACAGCTCAAATGGTAAAGGGAAAAAGGAAGGGGGAGGGGAAAGCAAGGGAAAGAAAAGGGGGAAAAAAGAGGGAAAAATGGAAACAAAGCTTTTGTAAATGGGAGGGGAAGAATACTTAAGGGATGGGTGAGGAATGGGAAAAAAAAGATGTAGGATGGCCAAGGATTTAGCTCAGTGGCACAGTGCCTGCCTGGCAAGCTCAAAGTCCTGAGTTCGATCCCAAGTACCCCCCGCAAAAAAAAAGAAAAGAAAAGAATTAAGATGCATAATTTACAGGTACAAAGTTGCTATGATGAATGTAATCAGTATGTATGACAAATATGTAGTAATAAAAAATAGTTAAGAAAGAAAAACTAAAAAATAAAAATACTCAGAGCATAGCAGCATGAGACTTAAGCCACATCAACTGCAAGCCAAAAGCTCTTCTTGGGGAGAATACAATCAGAGAGGACTTTTTGCATGTGGAGGCAAAACTCCTTTCAGGAAAAGCAACATGGAGGGAGCTCCACAGCTTCATTGGATAATGCTACCCTTTTGTATCTTCCCCAGATATCACAGGCAGAGGAAAGGCTCTTCTCTCACTCCAAGGCCCTCCAGCCCCCAGCCTTAGGTCTGTCTCCCCAGAATCACTAGAGAATGCTAAACCTGCAGTTATTACCTTCAGTAATCACAATCCACCTTTGCCCATGAATTGCTAGCTCAAACCTGGATAACCTCCCTTGAAAATCTGGCTAGATCCAGGAGAGCAAATTTTTAGTCTCTTCATCAAAGAAGGTCATGACCAGGCAAAATAAGATGATAGCAGCTGGAGTGATCAGTGCCAGATATTACTTCGGCCAATAATTAACCAATGGCTTCAAAGTCACCGAAATGTGTAGAGAAAAAAGGCATGGGTCATAGAGGATCCAATCCAAAAGAAGCTGAAAGAGGGGGCTGACTGTCAAAAGAGACCTTCCTCCAGAGGCCTAGACAGTGGGCACACCACCCAGGATGGGTCGTTTTCTTTCCTGGGTTTCCTTCCTGTTTGGGGTTAGCAGAAGGACCAAGAGAGCAAGGGTCTATCAAATTCTTTTGTCCATTTCCAGACTACACAATCCTCCTGAAAGGAAGAAAAGGACAATACTAAGGTTCTGACACTCTCCAAGACCACCAGACTGACCTGAACTGTCTGCTTGTGCAAAAGGCGCCTGTTAAATGCCTACAAGAGTGTGATATTATGACAAGAGTATGGGCCTTGAATACAGCTAGACCTGGGTTCAAATACCAGCTTTGCCACTTACCAGCTGCTGTGAACTTGGCTGTTATTGTTTTTCTAAGCTTTGCTTTATTATCTGTCAAAGAGAACATTAGCTCTCAGCTTGCAAGGATGCAGTAGGATGGAATGAGGTTGCATTTTTCTAGAGTGCCTCACACATACCATGTAATTAGTAAATAGTTTTCCATTCTGTCTTGTTGGCAGCCCTGGAAAATGAGAAGGAATGGACCATTTCTCACTCCTTGTAACCCTTTTTATGGCTTCTTCTGCCTTCATATTCCACATAAACCTACATCCCTAGCTCAGGTCCTCTGTTATAAGCTCTCACAGCACCTGAATCTTTCTAGCTCCATTCATATTTTATGACGAGTTACTTATTTGTGCGGTTGCTTACCTAATACATGCTTCCTCCACTGACTATTTTAAGTACATCCTCAGTGTCTAGAAATGGGAAAGTGAGTGATAAATGAGGAGGAGGTTCCTGCCTTTGTAGACCCCACTAGGTATAGGCACAAAGAGATGACAGTGGAGCAGCAGGAACCAGGTGTCCAGGACCTCAGAGCAAAGATACGGCCTGTGGACCACAGTAATTGGAGTCTAATTTAGGATTCTTATTCTAGCCTTTCTGCAAGAAATTTTCCTTACAACTTTCCTGACACAGCCTCCTCCATCACCCCAATGTGTGACTTCTTTCTTTGTTCTTAAATTAAAAAAAATCTATTTATAAGCATTCAGAATGTCAACAAAACAGCTGCAACTCTTTTGCAATTCTAGAGTGATATTCTGTTAATGAAACTATTTTGTCTAAGCCATATCAGAGCCAATTTAAAATGAGAGAAAATGCCCTGACAATCCCCAATATACAATTAATGCTGCACAACAGCATAACCTGCTTTAAATTTCCACACCAATTTACAACCTTCATTGTTTAACAAGCAATGTTAGAGGCCACTGAAAATACTACCAGGACAGGGCTTTCTAAAGACACATATGGTAGTGTGTTAACTGCACACACACACACACACAATTAATGAACAGTTTAAAAACAAATTTGCACAGCCTTATGTTTAAACATTTTTCTTTAAAATGAGAAAGTTGTGTGTAGAGAGTGGTTTACATGCCACTCTCACAAGAAAAAAATTGTGCTACAACCCACTAAATATCACCATTTCTTTTTTCGAGACAGGGTCTTGCTACATCATCCAGGCTGGCCTTGAACTCCTGGGCTCAAGTGTTCCTCCTGCTTTTGTCTCCCTAGTAGCCACTGCACCCTGTGGAATCATCTTCTTCCTCTTCTTTTTCTTGCTCCTCCTCTTCTTCCTCCTTTCCTTCTTTCTTTTGCTTTTTTCACCCCACCCCCACCCCCGTGTCAAACTTTCCATTGTCTCTCCATGCAGCAATATCTTTTCTGCATTTTTCCTTCATCTGAGCAGGCTCCATAAGGCTGCCTGTCACTCTCAGCAGCATTGTTCCACATCTTCCAATTTATTTGTGACACTGCCAATGAACCAGCAGGAGTGCTCTCCTCGGATTTGGGATGATACTCAGGACAGGACAAGAAGGCTGACAGAGGCCTCTCGGTTACCTCAGGTTCCTTGTTTCCCCCAGAGGAGGGATTTTTTTGGTTTCTCTTTCTAACAGGCCTTGCTGGCCTTTGCCATGAATTCAGATTCTTTTCTCTTTCACAGATGTGGCATGTCACTTTTCTGAGGACTTCTTAGAAAACTCTGGAAAGCGTACAGAAGCATCTGGGTGTTTCTTCTTGTGTTCTTCCTGGCAAGTTTGCGCAAAGCATGCATGTGATGACACTCTCTCCTCGGCTTTGTAGGCTGTCTTTTGCCTATGTTTAGTTGTTTTTCCATCGTGAGGCACAGAATCGCCCATCCAGCCCTTGCTTGCCCTGGCACTGTCCCTACAGAGCTCAAGGTGTTGCAATGGCTGTCATCCATAATCTCTTCTGACTCCCAGCCACCCACTTTTGGAGATGAGTCAGTGTAGGCTCTAGATAGGACGATGGGGGTAAGCCAGAGAGCTTTCCCATAGTCCCAGACTGGAGATCAGGCCACCCACTGCCTCTGCAGGGGGAGAGAGTGAGCCTCTCTGTGTTCAGCCACTCTGCTGTGGGGCTTTCCAGGCTGGCATAGACCACCCTGCTCCTTCAGCAGTCCCAACATCCAAGGCAGCAGAGCCTGCTTACTCGCTTGACTTCCTCTACCTCCTCGCACACACTTGAAGAAACTAAAGCAGAAAACTAAGGGACAAAAGTGCTGCTCTGGCAGAGAGGACCTCCCAGCCCGAGCTGGCTGGGAAACTCAGCCGCTTTTCCGCACATCTGCCTAGTCACTCCCCACCCCTGAATGACTTTAGAGCCTTGCTCAAGGGGTCATGGGATGCCCACCAGGCTTTACCCAGACCCCAGTGCCTCCACCAACCCCTTCTTTGCCATGGCCACAGTCTGCACGAGGTTAACCTCAGACTTCTTCCTGGTTGCTTCTGATTCACTTTCCTGCCTCTGGCCGGATAGGGGTTTGGAGGTTTGGCTGGACCCTTTTCCTTATATACTCTGAACAGGAGTTCCTGACCCTGCTTGTTAACCAGCCCATAAACCCCTCATCCCTTCAGGGAGCAGGCAGCTCTTCCACCTTCTGCAGAGATCAGCCAGGCCCTGGAAGCATCCTCCTTCCCCAGTGTATGCCCAGAAAGAAACTCTTCGGCATGGGCAGCATCAGAACACACTATTTATTGAAGCCCTTTGGAGCCCACAGGTGCTTTTGGGCTTGTCACTTCATTTGAACATCAGTTTAATTTGGTTACATCAATTACATTTGGTTCATACTCTTAAAAGTAGTTCTACAGAGGAGGAGAGACCCAGGGCTCAGAGAGGTTGGCATACGGGGCAATAAGACATCAAAGTCAAGGACCTGTTTTCTCATTCTAAATCCAGTGAATAGTGTTCTATAGGTCTGATGCTTCCTAAGCAGCACCTATAGCAAGTGAAACCCAGAAAAAGGGCTGCTGAGAGTCTCTGGCACTTCTGGGACTTCTGGAAAGGCAGGTAGGGGGTAGAACTTTCTGTTCTTCTTTGTTTCCCTGCAGTCATTGCTTAAAGGCTTTGAAATACATCTTCTATGCACACAGCCCTCTGAATGAGTACAGTTGTAACCTAGCCCTGTCTCCATCAGAAGACAGCAAGATCTCTTTGTTGAAAATACTTCCCCTGCTTGGTCACTGATATTGTATTTATTAGGTATCAATTCCATTGGCTAATCCTGCAGAGGTCCTAGGAAAGGGCATTGATTAAATCTCGTGAGAGTTTGTATGTCCACGTCTTTAATCATGTGTTCGTGATGCACATTTTCTGAGCACCTACTGTGTGCCAGGGTCCTCTCAACCACTGGTGTGTGAGGAAGAATAGCACAGTTCCTGTCATAGTCTATGGCCCGATGGGACAGTTGCACAGGAAAACCAGTGCTAAATCTAGAAGAGCAGAGGGGAGGTAGGAGCTAAACCAGGATGGCCCTTAGGGGCTTGAGTCAGGCTAGGGAGGCTTCTCAGAGAAAGAGACCTTTTTCAATTAAAACCTTGAAGGAAAAAAAAAATATTTCTTCAAAACTTTCGGAGCAGCTTTTGGGTAGAAAGAGAAATGATGAGGAATGAGGTGGGAAGAGCAAACACACAGGGTAAATTGACTGAGATACCTGAGCACTGAATGCCAGTCCTGGTTCTATATCCTTGGTCCTCTAAGTACAGAGACCCAGGCTTGCAGGCAGTGCTGTCCAGTAGAACTTCTGTAACGATGCAAATGTCATATTTCTGGGCTGTCCAACACAGCAGCCACCTGTGACTAATGAAGCTGAAGGCTGAATGCTTGCTTTTATTTCATTTTAATGAATTTAACCTTGCATGGAGCCCATATCCAACAGTGTGGCTCTGGATGCTTTTCACCTTGGATCCCATTTGAGTCACTTGAAATGTCTTACAAATTCCCATGCTTAGTCCCTGCCCAAAATCCTGGTATTGTGAGCTAGAGTAGGATTTGGACATCAGGTTTTTTGTTTTATTTTGTTTTGGTACTGGGGATTGAACTCAGGACCTTGTGCTTTCAAGGCAGGTGGCAGAACCACTGAGCTAAATCCCTGACCCTGGACATCAGTATTTTTGAGAACACCAGATGATCCAAAACTTTGTCCACCACATCTCAGGGTTGGGGAGGCCCCTTTTGTTTCAGCTTCACCTGGGGTGTGTTTGGGCCATGCAATCTTTTTCCCCATGGAAGGCCAGCCACACCCTTGGTTTCCCCTGCACTTTCAGTGGGAAGATCAGGCCCTAAGGACCCTCACACAGAGGGCAGGCTCTCTCTCTTGCTGGCTTTGTCCCTTTCCCAGGCTGGAGTCAGCAGTCGTTCACCTCAGCACCCTGTGAGTACCTGGCCAGCTTCCTCTCCCATGGACCAAAGTTTCAGTGGTCAGAGCCTTCTCCTTACAGGGCCCCGGGGCCCTTGGACAGAGCCCAACCAGCATTTTCCCAGACTGGGCTAGGCTGGGCTGGAACTGGGGCCAGTGGCCAGGCCTGAGGTTTGGCTGCTTTTTGCCTCATTTCTTATTACAGATATGTAGATGAATGTGTTTGGGACAGGAGTAATACAGGAGGTTTCAGTAACAAGACTTAAACTTGGAGAGAGCTCTTCTTCCCCATGTACCTTGGAAAAAGCTTTCTGAGTTGGGGCTCACCCAGCAGCTGATGTGTGGCCACCCCTATGTTTACCACCCACAACCCCAAAAGCAACTTTTCCCATGACTCACAAGTGGCAGCTTGTGCACTTCTTTTATTATTAAATATATAAGCAGCTTCCTATTTTTTAAATAGATATTTAAATGACCTTATATAAAATAATTCACCACTTCCAAGTATAAAAACACAATCTCACAGTTCGTGAGCCAATGTTCTCTCTGGGCTTTCTCAGAGGAAAGTAAGGGATCCTGTGCAGGTAGCCAGAAGTGGGGCACCCAGAGGTAGCTCTGGAGCTCCTCCCGCTATGTATCACTAAGTGCCCACAAAGAGCTTCTGCAATTGATTGAATTTGCTGTTTTGATTTTTTAAAAAATACTATATGTTTAAAGTTGAGAGATGTGGAGGAATGCCTTTTTTCTTTTTTTTTTTCCCCTTCCATTAAAAATATATATATTTTCTAGCATGGAATACGGAGTCTGTGACTAGAAGGATGAGCCCCATAAGAAAGTCCTCAGCTGCTCTTTCCTCAGCTATCAGCATCAGGACATGGGCAGTGGGCCAGCAGACTATCTCACTGGCAGGACGAGAAAGTCACAGGCCCAGCAGCCAGGGAGGACAGGATCTCTCAGTGGAAGGCCCAGGATGGCAGGAAAGGAGGAACACAGCAGCATAAAGGGACTGAGGGGCAATTGACAGCCCTGTCACCTGGTGCCCAGGTCTCAGAGCCACGGCAGGGGCCAGCCCAGGAAGCAGAGGTCCTCAGAGCAGAGTTGGAAGCAGATGTCTGGGTCTCCTGGTTCCTCCCCAACTCTGGCTTGCCTAGCCCAAGACCGTGGGGTGAGAGTTGGAGGGTGTCACTGCCTTTAAGGGTCAGGAAAAAGAAGGACCAAAAGAGGAGGCGAGCTGGGGACCATAAGGTGGGGCTGGAGTGCAGCCCAGCTCCAAGCCTCCTGATGGGGACAAGCTGTTCAGCTGCAGGTGCCTGGACTGAGGGGTTGGGGTGCAGGTCCTTCCCCAGTCTCAGGGGCATACTCGTATTTCCAAACCTGCTTTCAGTCAGAGCTCTCCCTGCACCACTCTGCCTCCACCTCCCTCCCGTTCTCCTTCCCACTAGTCACTTCCCACTTGGGAACGTCAAAGTGCAAGATGCAGAAACCTGGGTGAACACACAGCCTAAAGACCAGCTCTGGCTGGTGGCCTGACAGTTCTTCCACCTGCTCCACCCGAGGAGTCAAAAGCCGAGTCAGGAGAAGTTCAGGGCTTAGGGGCTCCCTCAGTCGACAGGTGAGACCAGCTCAATGCAGGAGGCCGGGGAGAGGCTGGAGAGGTGGGAGGACGTTTGGATGGATACTCGCTCATGGGGATGGAAGGGGCAGGATGTTCAGCAGGCAGATTCAGTTTTCACAGTGCAATGGTTTCCTTCACAGGGGAACCTCTGCTCAGCCTCCAGGAGAAGCTCTGGCAGGGGCTGGAGGGGAGGAGGTGTAGAGGCCAGAGCTAGGTCCTCCTCTTGGCATCATGAGTCAGGGTAGGCAGATCCTGAGGGCAGAGCTGGCCTCCCCATGCCACCTGGCAACCAGCGGAGGACACTCAAGTGAGTAGAGGGTGTAGATCCCTTCAAGCTGTCAGTGCACACTGCCAGAAGCCTCCTTTTTCCTATCTTTTGGGCTGCTTGCCTTTATAGGAAATCAGGCTGATGCTGCCCCACCCTAATCAAAGACTCCTCTCTGGAGACAGGTCCCTGCATGTCAACAATGGAATCTCTTGGCACCAGATGACTCCTGAGCACCCACTCTGGTCTCCCGCATGCCACTGGCAGGTGGGTCCTTGACCAGGGTGCTGGCATGGAGAGGAAGAAGCAGAGGGTGCAGCCCCTGAGAGAGAAGGTCCTGAGCCAGCTCGCTAGCCTTCCTTAAGCTCATGGAGCCTCCAGGGCCCACAATAAATAGCGGCAGTGTTGGGGTGTCCTCTGGCCCTCTCTCAGCTGGTCGAAAGTCTGAGGTCAAGGCGTAGGGACCCTAGCCTGGCTGCTCTGGTCCAGTCCTGGCAGGCAGGAGCTCAGGTGGTAGAAAGGCCACATTTCCTGGAGAAGAGCTGGGGAGGGTAGTGGCGGATGGCCCCATCACGTCTTCTCTCATGGAGAGACAGTCCTGTGTGCCCAGCTGTAGGGGAGAGAAGGGAAGGCTGGTCAGCCGAGTGGGAGTATGGAGAGGGTCGCCGAGGACGTGGGTTGGAGAGGTGTGGCATTCCTGTGGGCTGCTGGCAGTGCTGCAGGCAGGATTTCCTCCCATCCCTTCCCTCACCCTCCCAGCCACTCCAGACACCACAGAGGGAAGAGGTGGCTTTGCCTGGCAGTCTTCCAAGCCTCTGGATAGTCTGGCCTCACCTCCTACTTCCTCTTGGGAACAGTGACCATAGCGGGAGGTAATGAGGCCTGGTGGGGTGAGGGTCAAGGAAGAGGAGAGGTCATTGCCCAAGCAGAGAGGCCTGGAGGTGGGGATGCATCAGTGTTTGCAGACCCCTCTTCAGGCAAGATGGGCTCAGATATCAGATGAACCAATGGTGATGCCTGCTACTTCTAGCAAAGAAGAATTGCATTTCTCCCTTCATGCCCTTCATCAGAAAGTATCCTAGCAGATGATACTGAGGCAAAGGTAACTGAGGCCAGAGATGCAGTTTTGGGACAAGAAAACTTGCCCTTGCTGCAGGCATGCTAACCCCTGAGCCACTCAGCCACCCAGATGGGCTAAGGGACTTGCCTTTTGCCTCATACATGGGAGCCAGGGCCTGTCCTCTCCCTACCCCACCCCCATCCTTGTCCCCTTGCCCAGCATCCTTAGAACGCTTTGTTCCCAGAGCAGAAATCCCCTGGACTCCATCCAACAGTTTGACTTTGGACCCTGTGTGGCGCCTCCCTCATGTCCATGGCCCTACTGGCCAAGCCTGTGATGGCTAAGGAGGGAAGATGGGACTCACAGCTTTGGCTCCCAGCCCACTCCCATGCTCTGAAGGGGAAAGAAGGGGGGAGCTATAATATGGACATGAGCCATGTTGGTACGGCCAGGCCACAGGCCCTGCCCTTGGCCCTGGGGAGAAGAAGGACCAAGAGGGCATGCTCCAGCCTGCTTTCCCACCTCCAGGTTCCCTGGAACTGAAGTGCCATCCCTCACAGGTGTCTCTGAGTTTCCTGCTCTCATCTTCCCCATCAAAGCAGCAGTCTGGATTGCTGGCGCCTGACATGAGGACCAACTTAGGACCGAATGGATCCAGTGAGCCATGTGGGCCTCGGTGGGGCCCTTCCCCTGGTTCCCTCTCCAGGAAAAATCTTGAGGGGAAAAAGAGATAAGCTTGAACAAGCCTGAGAGTAGGCAGGTAGGGAAAAGAGAATGGAATGCAGAGGGCTCAAGGCAGGGGCCAAGACCTTGGGGGTGGTGGGAGGAGGAGATGGTGATTTGTGGGGGAGGCGGCACAGCCCTGAGCCAATAATTGCCCAGGGATTTCCATCCTCTGTTTACCTGACAGGGTCCTTCTCACAGCTCTGCAATTGTCCCAGCTGGCCTACTCACTCATCTCTTTCCACCCTGCTGACAAGAGGGACCCCAGGATTCCAGATATATTTGCTGTTTTTTCAAATGAGTTTCCCTAGTTTTGAGCCTTTGCCAAACAGACCCCTTGTCTCTGTAGAAGAGGCTCTGTCACATTGGAAGACCCTACGGTGCTAAGTGGTGAGACTGGAAACTTGAATGGATCACCCAGCTAGTCAGCCAGATCTCCAGTCAACAAATCAGCTAGGCAATCTGCCAGCTATTCAGTTAGCCACTGGACTTACCAGTCAACAGCTAGACAACAAGGCAGTTACCAGCTAATCAGTTTGTTAGTCACCCAACCAGCTCTTCAGTCAGAGTCAATTATCTGGTTAATTAGTCAGCCAGAAGGCTGGTCAGTTAAAGAAAGCTGGCCAGCCCTAAAGTCTGCCAGTCAACATTTATTGAATTTTAGACAAGTATGGACAAAAACTCTCTGTACTAGAACCTGGAATGGAAAAAGAAGTGCAAAAAAAGTGGAAGACAGCCCCTGCCTCAAGTGGCTTACAATCTTCTTAGCAGTGCAGAATGTACATATACACATAAAATCAGATTTTAAAATGTATAAAGACAGCAACCAAATATGTGCAAACCAATATAGTATTAACAAGATACAAAACAGCAGAGGAGCATGAATTAAAGGAGCAACCAGAGCTTTGGGGGAGCAGTTAAAAGGGTTCCTGGTGGGCTGGAGTGGGGGAAGAATAGCACAGATCACATCTTAATCAATAACATGGGCAAGGCCAGCAGAAGGCACTCATCAACATGCAGGGGACACGACTGAAAGGCTACAATGATGACAGAATTAGGAGCAAAAATACTTTCAGTAGCCTGGGGAATGGGCAGAAACCAACAAAGTGGTTTGAACAAGGGTAAATATAGGCCCCTGTACTTTAGTTTAAAGTTAAGTACTGGATGGAGAAGGTCAGCTGGGTAGAGGTTCATGGGAAATCGAATTAGGGTTTTTAATAGACTGCAAGCTCAATATATGACAACGATATGATGCAGTTATTAAAAACTAATGCAATCTGAATCTGCATGAGAAGAGTTCTGTCCAGATCAAGGAAGCAAACAGTCCCATTGTACTCTGAGCCGGTCAGATAACATCTGGAGTACTGTGTCCGGGGCTGGGTAGAACATTTTCAGAGGGATATTGACAAATGAGTATGTCCAGGATGGTGAGGGGTCTGAAACCATATCATATAAGGAATATTTGAGGGACATGCTTAGCATAGAGAATTCTTAAAGGGGACATAGATGGCTGACTTTAGATGTCTGAGTGCTTCATGAGAAGAGGAAGTAGGAGCAGTAAGAAAAAGGCAGGAAAGGTAGCTTAGCCCCACACAGGAAGGCCTTTCTCTGTGTTAACTGAAGAAGGCACAGGTTGAGTCCAGGCAAAGAGCTTGCCAGGGACTGGACAAGGTATCAAGAAGCTGGCTGATTCCATGTTGGGGATGCCAGGCCTGTTGGCCCTGTTAGGGTGGTCAAAAGGCCAAAGGACCTCTGAAAGCCCTCCCACAACTCAGATTCTATGACAGCATGATTCCAAAGGCAGGAAGATAGAAATGACCTTGGCTGAGTGGGACTGCCAATATGAAACTGTCTGGCATGAGGTGCATGCTGAAGGTGGCTGCTAGAGGGCTTGCAAGCCAATAGTGGGTTGGAAGTGGCTGGCCATACAGAGCTATTGAGAATTACCTAAGAGGGTAAAGATCTTACAAAAACCACATTGAAGGATGAGAATGTTGGCTGCTTTGGGAATCGAAAGTGACACCAAGACTAGAAACCCACTGAAGAGGTAGCATTGTCTGGCTTCAGATGGGCAGAGAGAATGGAGTGGTGAGGGAAGACCTGAGGCCCTGAAAAGGAGAGAGTTGGCTGGACTTGATATATTCATGGTTGGATGGAAAAGGAAACAGGATGGAGAGGAGGGAGTCAAGTGTCTGGGCCTTGGGGGTTGGTTGTTTCAGCAAGAGATGAGAGGTGGAGAGAGATCAAAATCAGAATTTTACCTTCGGATTTCCTCTACACTGGCAGTTCCACCTGTCTGTCTGCATCCTGGGTCAGGGAGCTGTAGGCAGAGCACAGGGCTAGCATAAGCTTCAGCAGGAACAGAGGAGTGAGGGGTCCCCCTAGGCTCACCTCAATCTCAGACAGAATGTACTCCAGCCCTCTCAGATTTAGAAGACCCAGAACTGCCCAACTCTAGGAAGAAATCAAGAAAAAAAAAAAACCCACATATCTAGGAAAGAAAAGAGGCCCTTCCCCTTCTCCACCTCCATTCTGCTCAGTAGCTCCTCCCCTCACCCTAGTCTAGAAGGTAAAAACAATCCTGATCCAGACCTCCATTGCCTCCCAGAGCCCAACCCAACCTCTCACCTGCCCTCTGGGTGCCTTACGAGGGAATCTGCTGTCTGAGACTCTTGATGGCTCTGAGGACAGAAAAGAGCAGGCTCATTGAGAAATTGGGGGAGGGTAGGGAGATGGTGGTCCCATTCCCAGGCATTAATGAGTAAGTTACTAGACTCCCCTCTCACAGTTACCCAAAAGTCAGGGTCATGCAGAGGGCAGGAGAAAATTCCTAAGGCCTCTTTGCTGAGGACACCCCTACTGCCCTCCCACATCCTATGGGCCTTCATGCCAAAGCTCTGCAGAGATCCCATGTACAGCACTGCTTTCCTCCTTCCTCCTCCTGCCTGGTTGTCATCCTGTTGTTAGTCCAAGAATCTTGTCTCCCACTTCCTTTTGTGTTGTCCCAACCCATTTACTTCCTTCCTGGAACCTTCCTGATTCTTGAAGCAGATTTTCATTTCTACTTCCCATCCTCTGTGCTAGGTCAGACCCAACCTCTCAGCATCTGAAGAGCCCAGGTGGAACTCAGGTTATCCTCCATCCTGCACTCACACCCAGCCTGAGCTCCACCCCTGTGAGTGCCCTCCTGTCTTCACTGGGATCTCCTTACCCTACACCTCCGCCTGTAGAACAGGAGGCCGCCAACGGCCAGCAAGACCAGGATGATGCTGGGCACCAGTACGTGGAAGACGAACCCAGGGAGCTGGGGGTTGAAGGTTTTCTCAGGCTGCCTCTCATGGCCTGTGTCAGTCAAAGGAACGGAGTTAAAAGGGGCTGGGGGCCTGGCTGCCCCCTCACTTGCTCGTCCTCCTTCCAGCTCTGCAGGGCTCCTTCGGTTCCTTGTGATCTTCTTGCCCTCCAGCTCCCCAAGGGGCAGCACAATTCCCCAGGCGTGGCTTCCAGGAACCTGCGGCTGAGCAGAAAGGGGCTGGAGTGACGAGGTCTGGGTAGAGCCTGTCTCCTTGCCCTCTGTGGGCAGGATAGTTGAACGGTCTGTCTCTTTAGGAGTGTCATGGTTGGCTTGGCCAGTGGATCTCACAGGGTCTACCTTAGGCAAGGGTGGCTGCTGATCCTCTGTTGTTGGGAGTGGAGAAGATGCTGAGAGGAGGTTGCTGGGTATGGCCCATTCTGTCTGGATGCTGCCCCCTTCTGGCCTGGAGGGGGAAAACTCTGCCCTGTGAGGTACAGGACCCTCACTGGCCTCTCCAGAGGCCTCTTCTAAGGCCCAGTTGGTGTCCAATCCAGAGTCAAGAATGTGCTTCACCCCAAAGCCAGGGGCCCCGGTAGAGGGGTGAGGCTGTTGTGAACCTCCAGTGGGACTGTCCTTGAGGCTTGGGGTCTCTGGTGACTCGAGGCTCTGGCAGGTGCTCCTGGGTGGTCGATGCTTTGCATTGCCTGGGTCCACTGTTTGAAGGGGCTGCTCGCTGGGCAAGAGGGACCCGCCCTCTGGCCCTTCAGAATCAGCCCAGGTCAAGCCAGCCTTAGGAACCTTGGAGGGGGCGAGGGGCTGGTGAGGGGAGACAGAAGCCAGGTCACTGCTAGGGGTTGCTTTGGGGTACAGGCAGTTGCACTCAGGCTTGGTCACCACATCTGAAAGAACCACAGAGAGGGGGAGAGAGAAAGAAAAGGAGGAGATAGAGTCACCAGCCTCCAGCACAGCTCCCCCTGAGGGGCCAAGACGGGGATAGGGGTCTGGCAGTTTCTCATCTCCTAAGTCAGCCCTGGGGCTGAAGAGGAGGGGACAGACTGCAGCAAATTCTCATGACACAGGACTCAGGCAGAGAAGGTGCAGTGGGCAGGGTATAATGGGCAGAAGGCAAAGAACAGGGCACATGTACAGACTGGGGTTCAGGGTGAGGAAGATCAGAGGACAACTTGTACTGGGGTTCCAGCTGGCTAGAGGCCAAGCCAGAGGTGAACAGCAGCCAAGAGATTGAGCCATGGCTTCCCAGACTAACACAGACATAGAAGCACCAAAAAATGCCGGTTTCATGCAGAAAGGAGCCACACAGCCACAGCCACCAACAGGAGCAGGCTGGCAGGGAACATGACCAAAGCTTGAGGTTTTGGGATTGAAACAATGAGACTGGACTTGGCCACTGGCCAGTTGCAGGGCCTCAGCCCCTTTGCAGTAGGGCACGTGGCATAGGACGCTGAGACGAAGACACACAGGGTACAAAATATGAAGCTGAGCCAACAACAGGAGAGTTTGAATGATGTTCAGACTTCAAATCCAGCCTTGTCCCTTGAGGGGACACCCAAGGCATCTTGAGGACTTCCGAAGCCAGGGTATCCTGGTGATTCACAGCAAGGCTCTCAGAGCAAGGGCCCTGAATCCCAGATAGTGTCTGCTCACTCCATGGAAGCCCTATAAGGTTAGCCAGTCTGCAGAGCTGGGGGTGGAGGAATTTCTCCATGCCTGCATCGCTTTCCCAAAGAGGGGCTCCTTTCCACTCCATAACCCCATAGCCACCAGCTTCCACATGCAGATATACATAGGTGTGCATGCATACACATCAGAAAAGACTCCGAGGTACATGAAGCCACACATGTACATGAAACAAGCACTTCTACACACACAGAAACACATGTAGCAACCAGGTCTCAGCCCCATACGTCACCTTCCACTTACTGTCCCCTTCAGTGCTTACCTGGGCTGGAGCACTTAGCAAAACTGTCACTGCAATTTTTGGTGAAAATTTTCCAGTCTTCTTCAAGGAGATTCTTCGTTTCATTGAAGACATTCTTGATCTTTTCCATTAGCTGGAGGGGAGTCTCATAGAAAGTTCGGACACAGGCCTGGAAGGAGAGCAGGGCCCCCTTTGGTGATCATGACCACTGGCTTCTTGTCACTATCTTGTTTGTTAAATACCCTTGGCCTTTCTCACATCAATCTTCTTTTCCCCCTTGTCTCCTCTCCCCTCCCTCGCCTCTGGTTTGCAGCAGAACCAGTTCTGAGGTTGTGAGATCTATCTACAGATATTTATGTGCCAGACATCTAGTTAGTTATCCGGGTATGGAGCAGTGAACAGGAAAGATATGATTCCTGGCTGAGTTGGACACTGAGTCCAGCAGGGCAAGAGACAGCTGGAAGGAGCGCAGCCAGAATCTGGTCCTACAGGGCCTTGTTGGCCACGTCAAAAACTTTTAATTGTATCTACAGAACAAAGGGAAACTCCAAAACATTTTGGGGAAGGTGGGTGGTGAAATGATGAGACTTGAATTTTAGAAAAATCATCTTGTTACGGTGTGGAGAATGGAATGTGGCAGCCACAGGGGATGGGTCCTTTGCTGACAATAGTGCAACTTGGAGGATGCACTGAAGATGTCCCAGGCCTGTCTGTCAGGTGGCTCTTTTCTCTTCTGCTCCTGGGGCCAGGCTCCCATATGCACTGGAGCTGAGAAACTTCACACTCTTGGGGTTCCTTCCACCTCGCCAGGTGCTGCTTCACTGTCCTTTGCAGGCTCCTAATTTCTAATGTTGGAATTCCTCAGCCCCAGCCCTGGCCTTACCTCTACTTTCACATCACGCCAAGGCACTCATGCCCACAACTTCATCTATGGCCTACTCACCAATGGCTCCCAAGCACCAAGTTTGTCCTTAAACTGAGCTACACAGGGAAGAACTATGGGTTTTCCTAGGCTGTAAAGTCCTCAAGGACTGTGTTGCATCCCTGTGGACTGCACATAGTAGGTTTGTAATAAGGTTTTACTAGATAAATGCATGAATGAGATGACTTGGCCTAGCTGCATCACTCACTAGCTAGGCAACAACAAGCAAACACACTGCTCAGTTTGGGCTCTTTCCCTCATCTGTGAAGTCAGAACAGCACTCGATCAAGCTTCTCCCCAGGCTGCTGAAGAGAAGTCAAGCTTGCTGGTACTTGCTTGCTTGCCTTTCTCTCTACAAACCAGTCTCCCTCACACTTTACCTCATGCTTTGCAAGGGAAATAAGGATTTTCCGCCGGAAGCCCTGACACCCAACCTGTCTCAGCAGAGAATGTGCCCTCCCTGCCTGGAAGCACTGAACCTCGACCTGCAGTCTTCCCAGCAGACCCGCACTGGGCCAGCTCTTCCACTCTGAATGGCTCCCTCACTGCTGGGCCCACCCTTGACATTCACGGGCTGTTCCGCGGATGAATGGTGCCTTCGCAAACGATCCCAAGACCCTTCTATTTTAATCAGGGGTGGCACAGGTTCTTAACCCAGTGGAGTCTCTAGAGGTCGGTGCTGGGGCTCTACATTTTAAACCAGCACCACGTGATTCTCAGATACCTTAATGTTGGAAAACCACAAATTTAATATCTCTTATTGAAGAATATTTTTCCCCGCAACCACACTCTCCCTCCAGCCACATCTCTTCTGCTATCTTTTAGAGCCAAGACAGTGTTGTCTCCACTTTTTTCTCTTTCTGTTTACCCTGGTCTGCCTATAACAGCAACCGTCATATTGCCAAATCCACCAGATGCTTTTCAGCCCTTATCTTGCTTGACTTCTCCATACCATTTGAAAAGCTGGCTGCTCCTTCATCTTGACACCCAGAGACACAGCCTTCTCCTGGTTCTCCTTTGCAAGCCATTCCTTGCCAGGCAACTCTCTTCTGCTTGACCTTAAATGCTGGGGTTCCTGGGCCTGTTTCTCCCCTCATAAGGAGCAACACTATACAGCTCTGTGGCTTCACAGATAGCCTTCATGCTGTGCCTCTCATGTGTGTTGCTGGCCATATTCAGGACTCATGCCTCCAGCTGTCTGCTCAGTGTTTCCACTTGGCCATTTCACATGATTTTCAGGCCTGATGTGTCCAATACTGAACCCAGTTCTCCCCTCAGACCTGCTCTGCCATTTTAGCATCACTGAAATATCCAGGTGCTTAGCCCCTCACCTCCTCTGCATAAACCAAGTTGGGTCTGTCCCAACCCATGGAACACATCTGCTCACTTTTGCCTTCCCTGAATCACCCTGATCCAAACTGCCGCCATCTCTGGCCTGGACTTGAGCCTCCTTCTGGTCTCCCAGCCTCCGTTCACATTTCCATTCTCTCTAAGACAGCCAGAACGGTCTTACGACGTAAGTGAGATTTGAGATTAGGTTGCTTGCCTGTCCATAATGGCTTCCCTTTCAATGATGACAAAATCCCATCTTTTTGATAGCCCACGTGGTCTGGTTCCTGCCTTCTTTCCTCCCTCGCTTTACTTCCCATGCCTTGGCTGTATTAACCACCTTTGGCACCTGAACATGTACCTTCCTGCCGAGCGTAGCATTACATAGCATTGCTTGTGCATGGCATTCCTTGTTCTGGAATGTTCTTTCAGCCTTATTGCTTTCTCTTACTTACCTTTGGAATTACAGTCACTATTTCTCACTTGGAAGTCTTCTTTGTCTATCTGCATTCTCACCTAGAGTTCCCTGTTGCTCTCTCCAAGCTTGTGGCCCACTCTCTCACAACTTGCATGTCTCCTGTCCTCTGGTTTATTCTCTCTAATGCAGTTATCATTATTCTCCATCCACATATTTTAATTGTATATTTTATTAACTGTCACACCCATCCCCAAATGTAATCTCCACGACTGTGGGGATTTTTGTGTTTTGATCACAGCTGTTTCCTGATGTCTAGGACAGCACCTGTACACAATGGACACTCAATAATGATTTGCCAAATGCACAAACCGTTCTGCTGGTTTGTAGTATGCCATCATTTAACAGCTGCCCACCCTCACTTGACCTTAAGTTCCGCAAGGGTGGGGTCCATGAATTTCTTGTTCTGAGGATACCATCACAGCCCAACACTGTGCCTTCTGTCTAGCAAGTCCTAAATAAAGGTTTGCAGAGTAAATCAATGAATGGATTGAGTGAGTGAGTGATGAGGGAAGGTGAGTGAATGTACCCTGAGCAGGGGTGCAGGGTTAGTACTGACCCTAGAGTGGCAACCTATCACCCCCCTCAATGCTCCAGGTCCAGGCCCGCTTACCTTATCCTGCTTCTCATAATCCTTGGTGAAGCAGCTCTTCAGTCTCACAGAGAGTCTCTGGAGCTGGCTGATGGCCTTGGCGTTGGGAGTTTCATCTCTGAAGCGCATGGTGTCCTCCATTATGTTTTTCACCAGGAGAAATGCCTTCTTAAGGTAGCACACGGGATCTTTCTAAAAAGCAGGTATCAAGAGTTTATGGCCTGAAAGATGGGGCCTGAGAGCCAAATCTTGGGCTAGATGCCTGCCATTCCAGGTACATGAAGGACTGCAGCCTGCTCTCCTCTCATCCCTGGGGAAGGTAGGCATCACATTATAAGGAGAATGCTGCCCTCAAGTTGTCTTTCATTCTCTCTTAGAACCTAGCACTCTGGGGACTGAACTAAAGCAAAGGAAACAGATTATGATTAGAGAATCTTTGGATTTTTGGAATACAAGGCTTTAATCAGGATGGATGCACGTACAGAGGGTGGGTTTCAGACCCCTACCCACATTCTCTCTCTTCCTCTCAGCTTGCTTTCACAGAAGTCCTTTGCCCTATGGCACTGTAAAATCCTCCAGAAAATAGGGGTACTGAAGACTATCCCACCATCCAAAGAATATCCTCAGTGTCTTGTCTCCCTGAAAAGATGGTAGTTGCTTTATAGATACAAACTCTATTCTATCTCTGTTTCTTGCACCTGGTCCAGCAGATTTCTAGTAATGCCCTGAGTGCATGAGGGAGTGAATAAAGAAATACTGAGGCTGTTCTTTGGACCATGACCTGGTCTTCACTTTTAATGGAGTTGTATGCTGGCTTGGTATGTGGGAACTCAGGTGGAAGCCATTTCTGGATAGGATGGCTGTTCTGCCTGAGGCACAAATATGCAGATGCATGGCATAGGGGGGTGGACTGTGGTATTTGCCAAGGGGAGACAGGCATCAGCAAAGGCTGAGAGGCTGGAAGGAGCAGGGAAGAGGGATGGGCAGGGGTATGGGAATGGGGCTATATATGGAGACACCCAACTACATGGTCTGGGCTTTCTTCTGGAGAGATGGGGCCCAGAGGAGTTTAGGGCAGGGAAATGAAGGAAGCAGGTTGGGGTTTCACAAAGCTTCCTCTAGTGGAGGACAGCGGGTGGAGGGTGTATGGACTCAGAGAGATGGGAAAGGCTCCTGAAATTGTCCCAGTGACTGCTTTGGGGAGGCTGGGCAGATCCTAGAGAGGTTGGGAGACAGAACCAGCCATGTCTGGTGGCTGGCTGGGTGTGGGTTAGGAAGGTGGGATGGACCACTTCTCTTGCTGCTGGCTGTCTGGAGAATGGAGGTGACATGGTTTTCCAAAGCACATAATCTGGCAAAAGGGTATCTGTTTTCCTTAGGCCCTAGATGTAAGGTGCCTGAGTTCTAATCAGGTTTCAATCACTTACCAGCTATACTCCCTCAACCTCTCTGTGGATAATAAACAATGAACATGGACCATCTAGTGCTACTGTTAGGTCTAACTTGGAAAGGTGCTGGGCACACGGCAAGCTCCTTTACGCATCGGCCAGAAGAGAAGAGCAGAGAACTTGAGCTCTGACTCTTCAGCCCTGCCTGCTGGCACCCCACACTTAGCACCCAGGGATCCTCACACCCTCATCCTGTCCAGCCCTAGGATTTCTGCTGCCTTTTATGCCCACGTGCCTGCATCCCTCGGAGAAGCACACAGGTTGACATATGGACTGTGCAAATAGCTCCACTCACCAACTGTTCCTCATCCGCAAACTCAAAAGCAATATGGCAGGAGGTCTCCATCTGACTGTCAATCTGTAAGAGAGAGCAAGCCAGTGCTTACAGGGTATCTGCAGCTTAGCCGAGCTGGTCTTAGAATTAATAACCATTCTGCTGGTGCAATTAGACTGAGAATGGGCTCATTCATGGCCCACACACCAGTTTCCGGGTGAACCAAGGTTTGAATTTAATCTGCCTCCTCCCTTCCCTTGCCACACCTGAAAATACAGAATCAAGGTTGGGGAAGGGCTGTGTCTTCCATATGCCTAGAAGAAGGCTGTAGAAGAGCAAAAAGTCTTTTCCTTCTACTTCTCACTCCATGAAATTGTGGATGCCAGTTTGTTATAAGGAAGACTATATGAGAAATATATGGTAGAGTTTAGAATACAATCTTTTCTTGAGGTGGTGAGGACCCTGTTATGGGAGAAATTCAGGCAAAGGCTGCCAAGTTCTGGGAATTCAACATGTATAGGGGCCAGGGGGAGATGCCCTGAAGACTCCCATTAGATCCCCAGAGCAGGGGTTTATGTTCTAAGCCTTAAAGAACGCTGTGGTCTTATCCAGGAGGAGTAAGAGAAATGGAAGGCCCAGCCTACAGGCCCCAAGTTTGGAGCCCTGAGCTGGCCTTAGCCAGTGGTGCCCCACCCTGCCTGGCTGGCCAAAGGGATGATAAATTCCCTCCTGGGCAAGTCAGAAGCCATGACAATACCCTGACACTGTCTGGCTGGACCATGTTTGGAACTGCTGATGATTCTGTTGGTCCCATTAGATGAAGATTCAGGCTGCTTCACGGCCCAGATGAGCAGGTCATTCCAGTCTCAGAGGCAAGAGCCAGGGAAGCAAGGGTGGAGGGCTGGGAGTTAGGCAGGAGCCTCCTCTTCAAATTTGGGCTGGACCCTGGTGCCAGGCTGGCAGCACATCTGGGAATCTGGGAGCTAGATATAACATCTGGACCAACAGGCAAACAGGGCTGTCTTCTGAAGGAGGCATTCATTTCCTGAGCCAAAGCTGGCCTTACGAGCCCTTTTAGAGTCCTTTTAGGAGCACAGTGCTTGTTCCTGTCAATTACTAGCCCAGGAAGCATGCCACCGTGCTCAGCCTTCAGGGTAGCTAGGGAGGGTTTCAGGGCTTGGAGACCTAAGGTCTTGACCTTAGGAGAGGTCAGTAAGAGGATCAGCAGAGGAGGGATGGCCTAGACAGACCTATTTCCTGCAGTCTCTCTTTGACTCTGTTCCTTGGCTCCTGCCTCAGTTTCCCCAGAAGGAGAAGGCATGGCCACATACTCACTAGGTGCTGCAGGACCTGCAGGTGTCCATCCCCAATCATGTGGCTACAGTGCTCCGACATCTCCTCGGCAAGACTCCTGCTCACCAGGAGAAAGACCAGCAGCAGCCAGCGGCACAGCCATGCCTGTGACAGAGAACATGTCATTTCTCTCCAGCTTTCACCTTCCCCCTGGCGAGGACAGAAATCAAAGGTCTCACACCGATAACACTATGGCCTCTGATTCACACCCTAGGATGTAGCATCCTCAAAATCAGGTTTCCCAGATTTACTATCAGCCACACCACAATCTCGCTTCCCCCTTTTAACAATCCAAACGCCGTCTTGTCTGAGGGGCCTTCCCAGATGAATCCTAGCTACACATCACATTTCTAATGATGACATAGCTGGTGTGTCTACTAGTCTAAATTCTAATGGCACAGTAAACCCCTCAAGGGCAGGATCTGTTTCTACCCATTATTCTATCCTTGCAATGTTAATTTAACACTGGGTCAAGCATGTGGTGAGCTGCCCTTAAATTCAGGTAGCAGCTGCCTGACTATAAGCCAGAGACATTTCCCTCGGTCTTAGCCCTTCCTTATACTTGGTTCTCCTCAGGTCTGACTCCACCACTGAAGAGCCAGGGGACCAAGCTCAATTTCTTTGGAACTCATCCTATGCCAGAGGCCTTCCAGAACCCTGAGGTTATCTTTCAAAAAGAAGCCCAACTGATTAATCAGAGGCAATAGTGCCAGCTCTGCACCACCCTTGGCTGGCACCTACCTATCAGTCCCATCAGACTGTGCATCCAGCCAGCCAGCTTTTATTGTGGCAGAGAAGTCTCTCTTCTTTCAGCACCCACCTGACTTAGTAACTGCCCAGGCCCAGATAGCACTGGCTCCTGACACTGTTTGTGCCTTTCTCTGCTCCTCCCTTACTCTTCATCCCCAAGGTCTCCCCTATCCTTGGTCTTAGGATGCCCTTTCTCCACCTGGAGGCAGAGAGACCCTTGAGATTTTCCCCACCAGGTAGAAGTTACCCCCTGGGAACTCCCAAGCCTCCTGGCAGCTGATGCCCCCAGATTCAGGGAAATGCTGGCAGGGTGGGGTGAGGGCTGGCACTTTCCTGGGCTCTGGGCTTTGTCCCAATAATCCAGATGATGGGACAATTACTACAAATAAGTAGTACATTGAAAAACAAGGGGCCATGAAGCAGCTCCCAACAATGTGCTGATTTATATCTAAAAGCCAAAGTGCTGCCAGTTCTTACAAAGACAGCTCTGGCTGAGCTACCATAGAGGATACAGGGATAAAGGACCTCGATGCGGCCTGAAAGGTGAGAGAGAAGATGATGACAGGAGAGCAAGGTCTTAACATTCTAGAGCTAGATGGCCCCTGAACTTTTCCCAACTACAAGTGCCCACCTGCACAGAAGGGGGCACCTGGACAGAAGGTTCCAAGGCCTGTGAGGGCTTGGCTTGACCTGAGATGGGGAGGATAGTCATAGACTGCAGGGTACTTTGGGCTCTGCCCCTGGGGAGGGAGCCCTGGGTGGGAATGGTTGCTCAGGCCTTGAGACACCTCAAGCTCAGGACCAATTACAGGTAGGTGCACCAGGCTTTGTATCCCAGGTGTGAAAGTTATGGAGGAAAGAGCTTCTGGGGGAGAGGATGCCTAGGGGGACAACCCCACTCTGTGCATTTTAAGATACAGGTGTTTGACAGCAAGGTGAGGGCCGTGCTTAATGCAGTGGGTGCCTGGCTTTGGGCTGCAGTTCAGGCATCATTAGTGGGAGAGTGTGGCCACCATACAGGAAGCTGATTTTGAAGATGGCCAAAGGGAGCCGCCCCAGACCCAGGGCCTCAGAGCTACTGCAAGAGGAGGACCCAGATAGGCACCCAAGGGTTAAGGCTCTAGCGTTTATCTGGCTGGTCAGGCTCTTCCTGGTTTCCTTCTTCCTCCCACCCAACAACCTCAGCTTTTGCTTGTGGGAGCAGCCCTAGGAAGGAATCTCTGCAGCAGGCTCAGAGAGCTGTGGGCCATCTCAGCACAGCCGTCCATCCTGACCTACCAGCATCACCGTCCATCTTTCCTTTCAATGAGGTCTCTGGAGAGACCTTGGGTCACTGGCTCTTAGCTGCCCCATCTGAATCTGGCCTCCTTTCTTTCCTCCTGCATGTTCTGTGCTCCTCCTCTCATCTCTAGTCCCTTCTCCTTGCCTAACAGCCTACCCTCTCACCCTACCTCCCGCCTCTCGGTTGGGCACATCCTCCCCCATGGATCCACTTTGGGGTTTCTCTTTCAATTCTCCAGGGATCCTCAAAAGTAAACACATTATGCGACCACTGTTTATTTGTAGTGTCACCTTGGATTTTCTAGGAGTGGAAGTGGCTACTGCCATTGTCAGGGCAGGGTGTCCCCTCTATGGCTCTGAGCAGCCCCTTTCCACAACTCTGCAACCCCAAACCCTCCTTCCACTTTTGTATGTGAAGCCCAGATCTCACAACTCATTGAACAAGGCTTTGCACAAAAAAGAGATTCGGAGCTAGCCCTAGGAAGCTCTGGGACCAGGTTTCCCTAAAACTGCCACCCAAGTCCCCAACAGCTCCTGCTTCTGTCCTGGAACAAGTAGTGGCTTGCCTATCTCCTTTGCTCTGACAACAAGTTGCTCAGCACAGGCCCTGGCATTCTAAAGCTGGATGACCCCTGAACTTTTCCCAACCAGAAGCGCCCACTCCCCACCCACCAGGGCCTTGAAGCACGTGCTTGGTCCAAGAAAGCTGTCCATGGGAAAGGCGGCGCCACACTCGGCGCTCAGATACTTTGCCTGGAAACAGACAGGGCATCCTGCCTGACACCAGGCCTCCACCCGCGTCTGCAAAACCCTCTCTTCTGCCTGTGGGCTGCTCAGTGTTCCCGTCCGTGCAATGGGGTGAGCTGCCTTTCCTTCCCCAGGGAAGCGCCACATCCCCCGGAGCAGCTGCAAGGCGGCGATTCTGCCGGTCCTTGCGCGGGGAGCCGATGCTCAAAGGCAGTTAGGGAGCCGAGTCTGAGACCGCAGCGGGAACGCAGGGGCAGCCGAGCGGTGGGGAGGTCGACTCCGAGGGGCAGCGTCTGGAAGCCCGCCGCCGCGCCCCCGCCCACCTCGGC